ATAAGACAAGAACTTTGAAGATCCAGTCTGACATTACAGTGACAATCAACCCAATAATGAACACTTACAATTCAACCAGCAACGTTTGCTGCAACAAATTGAGAGCTAGTGAAAGGTTATGATTGGTCGAGACGAAGAGGTAAAGGCCACACTTGATTCCAGTGTGAAAACGTACAAAAACAAACCCTCCTACAGTGTAATCCTAAAATAATGTTTCCATGTTGGATGGTCTTCTTGAATTTAGTCCAAATGTTACAGACTGCAACACTATATCAACAGACAGAGACAAAGCGGATTCTACTGCAAACATACAACTTCTTATCATAGCTAGTGTTGGGTTACCACAAGGGTTATGCTCTGGCTACATGGGTACCAAGTGGGTATGGGCCCTAAATGGGCATCTTGTCTGGGGCTCACTTGGGTCAACTAAGTAAGCTGAACCCATGTGGGCTCATCAATATACATTGTGGTTGTTTGATTTATTCAGCTTCAAGAAATGCTCAGTTTAGGAGAAAATTCAAATATATTATAACATCTTTCAACAGCATGAGTACAGAAAGTGTTGCACATTCAGGGGAACAAAGCTTTTGCCAAAATCTGATAACAGACCAGTCCATTCGATCAACAGGGTACTTGCGTGCTTCCTCCTCATTCCCCGCCATCCTCTTCATCTTGTGAGGCAGGTTTGGGCTTGGCCTGGTCCACAGCATCCAACAGGTTTTTTTGAATCCAGTGCCAGAGTTTGAGCAGCTGCCAACATCTGCCGCTGACATTCCTCCCTCAGCGACGTTATGGATGTTTGCTGCCAGGCAGCTGGATGCTTATTGATCAGGCTCTGCTAAATGTTGTTAGGAGTCTTAGTGCCCTCAATCTGAAATGGTGGAGGAGAGACGATCACATGATACAGTTTTCAAAGACTGGATTCAGTTCTTTAATGGCAAAGTGTGATTTCATTTCATTATTCAATACAAGTGAATAAGACCCACAATAGACGCCGTTTGTTCTATCTGTTCTCCCCGTATTCATACGTGAACAAATGGTCTGCTTTGTGGTTTTACAGTCATAAACTGTAGCATACAGTCAATAGTCCAAATAAAATAAAGGAGCATTGCAGAGAGTACAATTATTGTAAATATAATAATATATCTTCCAGTCGTCATTCTTGTGTATATGTCACTGTAAATCTATACTGATCTGTAAACTAAGATTTACACATCCAGCCAATTTGAGATGCTTTTTCACTCCCTCCATCACCTGACAGAAACTCAGGCTTTAGATCTGTCTGCTGTGACAACAGTGCCCTCCCCTGTTCACTAATATATCTGAAAGATGGCATTATAGGCTCTTAGTCTAAGGCATATTTCTTCATGTTGACAATAAACATGATGAAAAAGACCAACTTAGATGGGTGCTGGATCAAAAAACAGCCTATGAAACATAAAAATCTGCGCACCAAATAGCTCTTGTAGAAAACAACTGGAAATGTCAGAACTCAAAATGTCACTTCAACAGGAGCAGTCCAACTTTTTCAACAGGATCGGTCCAGCTCAGCTGTGGGCCGAGGCTACTACGATGACCAAATTTAATACATAGCTCTGCATTTCAATCCTACAATTGTCAGCTGTACAACTTTTGTGGTCGTCTTTACTGCTTGATCATTCTTTTCTTAATAAAGAAACACGTCTAAATATATCTTCTACCAAATTTATACCAGAGGAAGTTTTGTTTTACCTGTGTGACTGTGGGAGGCATTGGGGGCAGAAAAGGTTTCATATCTCCACCCACACATTTCCTGCACATAAATATGACATTCATATTTTTTGTTCTTTTCTGTTGTACTGCTACAAGACTGAATTAATCTCTTAATCTGGACTCTGGCTCTGGCTGCAAACAACGTAGAAAGAGAAGCGCAAGAAAAAGAGGATGTGAGTTTATCACTTTAAAGGGTTTCATTTTCAAACCTCATATCAGGTAAGAAGTCAGGTTAGTACTGTAAATTTCTCTTTCACTTTGAAGTTTCAAGTAAATGTGTGGTGTTTTAAAACTCTTGTGTATGAACTACAGTACTTAGGAAGTATGTCTCTGCCCCCTGGTGGTCAAAATGTGCTTAATGCAGCTTTAATAGTGCTGCAGAGGGAGTCCTATAAGTAGTGTTGCACGGTACACCGATACTTCA